GCATATTACACAGCCTTTCAAATTTGTATATACAATTTAGTAATTTTCAAAAATTTTATATTAAACTATTCATAATTTTCACGTTTTATTTCATTATAACGATACCAGAAATAATGTAATCTGATTCCATTTGGCTTGATCGCCCATATGTAAATTCCACAAATCGTAATCATTGCTAAATTATCATTTTCAAGCAAACCACAATTCAGAATAAATTTTTTCTTATGCTTCAATAATTCTTGTTTCTTAAATAATATAAAAATAGTTTTCACTAGCTGTTCTTCAGTCTTTATTAGTCTATGCCCTACTAATGAAATATCATCATCAATTTCAATGCCCCATTTAAATATAGTACCTTTATATGGAGGCTCAATTTTGAGATTAATTTCTTGCCTATCACTATCATTGTACAATTTAATAATTTCATGAATCATTAATTTGATTCGTGTAACGCTATATGGAGAACCGATGTTGCTATAGTCACCTAAATTTATTCTCAGATATTCAATCCATTTAATCCAATTCTTTTGTACTAAAGTTTGCATGTACAGGCTTCCCTTAAGCCAAATAATGATGGTATCAGATTGTATTGCATATTGTTGCATTAATATACTAGTTTCAGCATCATTTATTGAAGACAGACTATTTTTGAAGAGTTTTGTAGCATCTACAGGATCTGATAGAGAATCTTTCTCCCACATCAGTGCCAATAAAATATACTTCAAACAACTCTTCAGACAATTTACGATATTGCTCTGATAAAAAAAAAAGAGACATAAGGTAAATTGAATTAACTACATTTGTCAATTATTTATAAATCATACTTACTTTGAGCCAGCAATATTCCAAGTTCAGTTGAATAAATAAATAACTTATATGAGGAATTATTTGCTGAATCATACACTAATCCATGAACTGCCAATAACGTAGAGTTGTCATTAAAAGAAATTTTAAGTTGAGATCGAAACTTGTTTAACAAGTATTGCTGTTCAAGGATTAATTTTTTTAAATTCCATTGTAATAAAACAGTGGTATCAGCAATCTCTAATAGCAATTTTCCACTAGAAGTTACGTGGCTCTGAGTAAAATATTTTAATTCAATCATCCTTTTGCAATCCCATTTGTCATTGTTCTTTTCGTTATTAGAAAAAATGTAGGCTCTATATGTCGGTTTTCCTTTGACGATCACAAGGTCACTATTCACAAGAAAATTCAAACTATCTATTTCGCCCTCGAGATTTGGAGCATTTAATTCGTTAACTCTCCCTGTGTTCAAATTATAAATTTCTGCATATTTAGCAAATGAAATTAAATCATTTTGAATTATAGAAATCAGATACGGAATTGCTAAATTTCATATAACTTTCAATATATTTCCTTACCAATGTCATATGGATAATTTCTTTTCAAAGTTAATACAATATGCTTGCTATCAGATATATTCGCCAAACAAGGTTCAGGATATAATTTCTCATCTTCGAATTGAAACTCTTCACTAATTTCATACAATTTTTGTCTTCCCTTATCTATTTTCCATAACTTCAGAAATTTAGTCTTGTGTGTCCATACACCAAATGATTATATCTAATGATTCTTCCTGCAATTGCTCTTTAGATTCGTACATTTATTGCTTCGGTTTTCTCCTGGGAAATGAGAATTTAAGGAATCTAGTGGAGAGGCAGAAATTGACAGATTTTTTAGAGGGTGGGGGTTTGTGATTCAATCAGGTCATATATTTTTTATAATTAAATTTAATTGAATCTGGTGGGATGGTGGTATAGCCTCTTAGTAACTAGAAATTAGCAGATTTCTGTCCCTCTCCTTATTTTCAAATCAAATATTATTGTGGTGTAACATCTCTTTTAGCATTTCTAGCTTTATTTATTGTAATTGTATGATTGCCTAAGCCTCATTTAAGCTACGTGCAATATGAAATTGTGAAAATAGTATCTTCGTATTAATCAAAAATGGACAGAGTATAATCGCGACAAAATTAAGTTGTA